AAGAGATGAAAAGCCAATCTGGTAAGGGTAAGTCAGCGTGCCTATCAGAGGAGAGAAGACCCGGGAGCAAACGCCAGACCGCCTGAGCAAACGGGCAATTCCGGAGGATATGCAAAGTTGACTCCTCCGCAGTTCCACAAACGCAGCACCCCAGATGCGGTAAAGAGACCCGCCGCTTAGCAAGAGCACAACACGTAGGAAGGATATCATGGATACCACGCCAGGTACATAATTTAATCTTTTCAGGGAGCTTTGCATTCCAAACCCACTTCCACAATTGAGCCATGCCCGAAACCGAGGAAGAAGGTGGGTCGGGGTCAGTCGACAAAGTAAGAGCCACACGGTACGCACTCTTAACAGAAAATTTTCCTTTACGGTCAAAATGCCAAAAGAGGCAGTCTGGGGGAGACCGGAGGCTTAAAGGCACCGTGAGAATCTCATCCACATCCAATGGCAGGAACAGGGATGTAAGAAGTGGCATATTCCACTGGGGTTGGCTCGCCCCACAAATGAGGCTGCTGACTTTTAGCTCTTCAAGCCCCACAACAGGAGGAGTAACCACCTCAAAGCTGGTTGGCCTAGGGAGCCAACGGTCCCCCCAAACCTTAATATCGGACCCATTACCCACACGCCACCGAGAACCACGGGTAATAACCTTCATAGCAGAGAGAATGCTACTCCAAACAAATGATGGTTTGGAACCCGGGACCGCATCCAGGAGAGAAGAGTGGGGAAAATACCTAGCCTTCAAAAGCTTGCAGATCAGAGAATCAGGGTTATGAAGGAGGCGCCACCCCTGCTTAGCAAGCATAGCAAGGTTGAACGCATAGAGACTCCTAAAACCCAACCCACCCTCGCTCTTTGGGAGACCCAACTTGCACCAACGCATCCAATGGATTTTACGCCTATCACTATGCTGACCCCACCAGAACTTTGCCATAAGTTGCTCAAGATCGGAACAAAAGTTTTTGGGTAGCAGGAAGCAACTCATAGTGTAAGTAGGAATAGCTTGGGCCACCACCTTAATTAAGATTTCCTTGCCTGCCATACTGAGAGTCTTGTCCTGCCAACCCTGCATCCTCTTCCAAACACGCTCCTTAAGGCTCTGGAAGCAAATACCTTTTGAGCGTCCCACCACCATAGGCAACCCCAGATAAAGGTCATGGTGAGAAACCCTGTTGACGCCGAGTTGCTGGGCCAAGGTCCCCTGGACGTCAATAGGGATATTTGAGCTAAACGCTACAGTACTTTTCCCACAATTAATTTTCTGTCCCGAGGCCCGTTCATATAACTCAAGGATATGTCGTAAATGGTAACAGTTAGCCGAGGTAGCCTGAGCAAAGATAAAGCTGTCATCCGCAAAGAAAAGGTGGCTGACGCTCGGCGCCCCACGACAGATGGTGATGCCCTGCAGCTCCCTACGACGCTCAGCCGTATTAAGCAGGGTAGTAAGGCCCTCCGCACAGAACAGGAACAGGTAGGGCGAAATAGGGTCCCCCTGACGAAGGCCCCTAGAAGGATGCAAGTTGCCCCGAGGCTCCCCATTAATAAGGAAGGAATAGGTAACTGTACGGACACAAGCCATCAGCATTTCCACCCACTGAGAGTGGAACCCCAGCTTCAACATGATCTCCTCCAGGAAATTCCATTCCACACGGTCATAGGCCTTACTCATGTCTAGTTTAATTGCCATGCAACCCTTCTTGCCACGTCTACGCTTACGTAAATGGTGGGCCATTTCAAAAGCCACAATGGAATTGTCAGAAATCAATCTACCCGGAACAAAAGCAGACTGGTTTGGGGAGATGATGTGATGAAGGAGTCCTTTTAAACGGTTTGCAAGAACCTTCGCCCCAATACGGTAGATAACATTGCACAGGCTGATAGGACGAATATGAGACATATTTCGGACCTCCCTCACCTTAGGGATTAAAGCAACAGAAGTAGAATTGATCCTTGAGACTGCCCCCGGACACCGAAAATACGCAGTGACAGCACGCACAACATCGTCCCCAACAATAGCCCAGTACTTCTGATAGAAAAAAGGGGACATACCATCAGGCCCAGGAGCCTTGGAAGGATGCATTTGGAACAGAGCATGTTTTATCTCATCATAACAGAACGGCTGCATTAGGGAATGGTTCATCTCAGGTGAGACCCGACACTCCAAGCCATCAAGAATCTCCCCCATCCCCTCACCCTGAGCAGACGAGAACAGCTGGGTGAAATAATCAAGAACCGTCTTCTCAATCCCAACATCGTCAGAATGCCACCTACCCTCATCATCAAGTATACCCCGTAACAGGTTCCGCTTTCGGCGATGATTGGCATGCTGGTGGAAGAACTTGGAGTTTTTGTCACCCGCTTTCATCCAAATAGCCCTTGAGCGCTGCCTCCAATATATCTCATCCATCTGAAGTAGAGCGTTAAGGTCACCCTGAACAACCCGTTTCTCATCCTCCAAGGAACTAGAGTAAGGAGCCCTGAAAAGAACGGCCAACTTCGCCCGAAGGGCAGAAAGACGCCGTGCAGTATTACCAAATTCCGCCGAACTCCAGGTTCGCAACTTCAGGGACGTCGAAGATTGACGTGTCTCGAAGCGGGTAGTAGGGTTCAACCAAGACCCAGCAGACCAGCCCTGCTGCACCACCCGCTCACAGTCAGCATGGGCTGACCACATCTCCTCAAAACGAAATCGCTTTCGGGACGGACGACGGCGCCGCGGCTGAGACTGGATAACCACGAGGATGGGCAGATGATCAGACGTACAAGGGTCAAGATGCAAAACAGATGATAAAGGGAAATGGTCCTGCCAGTCCGACGTTGCCAAAGCCCGGTCCAACCGTTCACGTATGACTTCACCAGCATAGTTTCGCTTCCAAGTAAACTTGTAGCCAGAGAAACCCAAGTCCTGAAAAGCACATAAATCCACAACCCCACGAAAACCATCCATTTGCCGATCACTACGAGGGAGCCCCCCCTCCTTCTCATGAGCAAAGAGGAGCTCATTAAAATCACCAACACAAAGCCAAGGTAAATGATTATGCAGACCCAGCTGAGAAAGCAACACCCAGGACTTATCCCGGTCGGCGGTTGCCGGAAAGCCGTAGAAGCCCGTGAGACGCCACCTCCCAGCCACCCCAATAGAACCAACTTCAGCATCAATAAAGTGATCCGAAAAAGACTTAATAAACAACTCAGTATCATTGTTCCAGAGTAGAGCCAAACCACCAGACTGGCCCCTGGAGCTCACAGCCAGAACATGCGAAAAACCAAACCTCATTTTCAACTTGTTCATATGACCACTACTACAACGAGTTTCACAAAGGAAAACGATCGCGGGAGATTCTTTTCGGATTAAACTCTTTAATCCATTAACTGTCCAAGGGTTCCCAAGCCCTTGGCAGTTCCAGCATAGGATATTCATTGGGACCGGCGGGGCTGAGCCGAAGCAGCCTCCACCGATGAGTTCATTGTAATTGGGCCAGTATGGGACCTAAAACGTTTTTGGGTTGGCAGGTCATCCCCAAAAGGAGCAACATGCAAGCGTCTCTTAGCAGGAGTGAGGTCAGGAGGAAACACAGAAGCAATACATTTTGTCATACGTCCTTTGCTGCTGGTCATGCATGACCAACCATGCACAAAATTACTGTCAACCCCTTGCTGTCTAGTTCCCATAATGCGCTCAGTGGTTGGGCCAAGAGGGAAAGAATCAGACCCAAGTGGCGGGGCCATATCTGCCACATGGTTTCCCAAAATAGGGCCCAAGCAGGAGCCCAACGATTCCCCAAGGCCGAATAGATGGTGGTCAGTATGAGTTACCAATGGCCCACTTGACAAGATAGCAGCAGGTGTCCTATAAAGATTTTCAGAACTATCAGTGTCAGAAGGCAAGACATGTGCACGAGAAGGAAAAGTTCTTCCACTTGAAGGTTTCAAAGAGATCGTTGTATCCATATTGGAATCATGAATCAGAGTGCCAAAGAGCATAGATTGGTTCCCAAATTCCATGGGGCAAAGTCCCATCCCAAGCGCCAGAGAATGTTCCTCCGACAAAATGGCGGTGGCAGCAAGACCAAGACCAGGCACAGAACTCAAGTGCAGACTGTCCACCTGTTCCGCTGTCAGTGCGGGGATGTCAGATCCAGCGGTGCCCCCGAAACCAAGACCAAGGGTGTGGTCAACACTTGCCACTGGATCAGAGTAACGCCGACCAGGTGCACGACGGCGACCTCTTGGTTGGGGAGGTGCTGTAAATAAAGTATCGAGACTTGGTGCAGGCCCAGTGCCCATCCATTCTCCGAAGAGCTGCTCTGATTGGGTTCGCATAGTAGCAGTAACAAAACTACACTCTTTTTCCCCATGGCCAAGACGCCCACAGGCAAAGCAGAAGTTTGAGAGTTTCTCATAACAAAACGCAATCCAAAGTTTGGAATGATCTGACCGTGGTAGACCAAACCCAGGTGGAAGGGGTTTACTTATGTCAACCAAAACTCGGACTCGGAGAAAGCCCCGAAGACCACCTGCTTGGATTGGGTCCTCCACTTGCAGAACTTCACCAATAAAACGCCCAAGAAGATTAGCTTTTGCAGTGGTCATATCTTTCAAAGGAACACCATGTGCTTGAACCCAAAAAGGTATAAGGTGAAATTGAATTTCTTCAATAGCCAAATCAGATGGCCAAGGTTGAATGGAAGAAGAGAACCCCATAACTGACCAAGGCCCGGTATCCAGGATCTTTTTGGCCATTGTCGCATCACTGACAGTAATAGCAAAGATTTTATCCTTCACCTCCACTATTTTGGCTTCACCAAAACCGCTCCAGGCCTTCTTGAGAATTCCTTTTGCAGCTCCCCTGTTTGGGGGTTTGTCTGCAATGATTGTTCCAGCTAACATAGTCCCCGCCTGGACCCCACCAAGGTCAAGACTATCCCATTGTTGAAGGAGCTGGTCAGCACTTAAAGTATTCTCTGTCATTTTGAAAAAAGAAAAAGTGGGTCGATGGTGAAAAAAACAGTAAGGGATAGGAGGTAGGTACAAGTGAAGGGAGAGAGTTTAAAGGAAAAAAGGGAGGGTAGTTTAAAGAGTTGAATTGTGGTTTGAGGGTAAAGATGGAGGAGAAAAAAAGTAAAGAGTGTAAGGGTAGGTGAGGATTTGGACAGAAAGAAAGATAGACGTGGAAAGAGATGAGATTTGGAACTTGTAGTTGTCTAGGAAGAACTCAAACCAAGTTGGAAAAAGAAGAACAGTAATATCACAAAGGATATGGAAACTCTCAGGTAGAGAGAGAAGCTCTCAAGAAGAGAGAGAACGAATTGGTAAAATTACATGCACTAATGTTAATATTAAATAGTATAGAATAATAATAAGATAATTGAAAAGATAAAGGAAAGCTCATCCTTTCGGTGTGGTTTCTTCTGATCAGTTTTTCATATCGCAAGCAAAGCCATCAGGCTCTGGTCAAACCAAAGAAGTAAGCCTTCACAGCATGGGTTGCCTCGGCTCTCTTAAAAGCATGGAAAATGAGTGTGGGAAAAAGCTTTGGAAAGCTCCATGGCACAGAGGCTCCATGATCCGGCCACCATGACTCCGGCTAGAGGTCAAGCAGATATAGGCTTCGACCACTGAGTCTCGCTCCGAGGATCTGGCAGGCTCCAGCGGTGGCTATGCAGAGGTCGGATCTGCTGGTGACGGCAGTCGACGTCAGCGATGATCTTGGTACGGAGGGGGAAGGCGGCGGCGTGCAGGAGGTCAGCAGGGTGTTTGTTAAAATTTACATGCCATGAGCTCGAAGAAGTTGCCGATCATGGAAGAGCGACCAGGGCCGCCTCGAAGCCAACTGAGCAGTGGGGTTCGAGAGAGATCGGGTGAGATTGTGAGGTTCTGAGCTTCATGGAAAGTATAGAAAATTGGAGAGCATGTGGTGGGAGGCCGGCCTTGGGGGTTAGGCGAGAAGGGCCTTGGCCATGGGCCTCTAATTAAGGGGGCCCAAATTTTTTTATATAATATTGTCAAACTTTAAAAAAAAAAAAAAAAATTTTAAAAAAGAAAAAAAGTCAGCGATGTAATTGAATGAGGAAGGCTATTCCTCTTCCCGTCCAGAAGCTCTTCGTTTCCTACGATACGCAGCCAGCAAGAGCAACAACCCCTCTCCTAGTTATTTCTCCATGGAACTCTATTTAATCCACCGATCTCTTAATAATCCACCATCATATTTTTCTATGTTTTCCCCATCTCCCTTCAATTCATATCCTTTATTTTCAATTTCTCTCATCCCTCTTTTCTCGTATCATATTGTAACCCTAAGTTTCAATCTCACACTAAAAAGCTCACAAATTGTTTTTGAGATTGATGGTGACCAAGAGGGGAGGAGCATGAGAAATTGAAAAGGTAATCAGATTTATAATTTTTTTCTTTATATTTGTTTCTACCCAACAAACTATTGTTTCAATTTCCAATATGAACAAAACACAGAGAGATACGGAGTGGTAATCAGATTTATGAATACTTGATTGAATTGCATGTATCTTCACATTGCAGATGTACATGAATCAGGTGGAGGTACGGAGTGGAGTTTCTCAAATTTTAGTTTCAACACAGTTAGCCTGAATAAAGCTCTGCAAGATTTAGGCTTTTTTATATAAGCTTTAACCAGGTTTATGTCTTAAAAAATATGTATGTTGTTACTTATTGTAGTTTCTTTGTCCAATTGTGCTACCATTTGTTACTTTTCTTATGTTGTATGATTCTTTTTGAAGACCACAAAGAGGATTTTGCTAAACTCATGTGATGAAGCTTGAAGCCAGAAGCCAATCTTAAGGGAAAGGATTTAGTACTTTGAACAAAAACTTAGTTTTAATGTATCTTGACATGTTCCCATTATTGGTTACTGGAATGTTGGTTGGTAAATTTGTAATTTCCTTCATGATATTAAATATTTAATCAGAATTTTTTTTTACGGAGATATGTCCTATTATAATGCATGCTACCTTTTTTATTTACACGCTACGCTCTACATAAAATCATTTTATTTGTTGTTTTTTCGCAGTTGTATACTAAGGGAAGGGGCCTCATTTAGTTTATCGCCTAAGGCCACCCAAAAGTCAGGGCCGGCACTTGTTTTGTTGGGTTTGTGTTTTGAAGCTATAGAGAGTGACACATAAGCTATATTGATACACAAAAGCATGAGCAACTCAATCAAACCCAAGAAAGAAAAACAATGAAGCAGAGTGTTTTGATCGAATATCCCAGCTGATATTTTAGAGATATTCGTGCTGATAATGTGTTATAAAACTAAAGAGATTGTAGAGAGAATTGAGATATAAAGAAAGCATAGAAGTCTGATATTTTATTGAGACTTTCTTCTGTATATACAAATGAGAATGAAGCCATAGTTTTATAGGCAAACCCTTGACTTAACAGTTCGGTAAATAAAAGACTCTAGGAAGGTAAATGGAGATTCCCTTCCAACATGTGGGCTCCACCTTATCATTTTACAACACCATGCTGTTTTTGTTGTTTTGTATGGAAATATGGTGGAGTGGGCCCATGGTGACTGGACAATGCAGTTTTTAGTGACTTAGAAAAATATTCTCAATTAATAATAAAAAATAGAAAATCTACTTAATAATTGAATAACTTACGCCTTAAAAAGTGTCAATCAAAACATCTAGCTCATATTGACATTAAAATAAAAATGGCAATAGTCACCATTATTTGGTGACTAATGTTGGGGTAACCAACATACATTTACTGTTTAGAGTATAACATGTTTGAATTTTCATACTCTAAGCTGCTAGATTTGTTTTCATCCAACAGTTAATAGTTAAAAGCACATTCTAGAAAAGAAAAAAGGGAAGAAAGCAAGGAGCAGCTTTAAGATTACAATTCATAATTAAAAGCACTTATCCGATTCCCTAACTCATTTATAAAGAGGAAGACCATTTTAGCTGTTCGTATTGTTGAAAGAGGATGAAATCACTATATTGACCATAAACACCAATAAAAGATGGGGAATAACGAAAAATAATTTGGTGCATTCACTTGAATATTAGACTATCTTAATACCCATGTCTACAAAATTCTTTGCGTGTGCGTTTTTTTCAAAGAAAAAGTTGCTTGAAGATAATAATGACCTAGGCATGAGTCACTTTTTTTTTTTCCTTTTTATCTTGTGATAAGACAAGAACAGTAGGCATTTAGATATCAAATATCATATCATCTAGACTTCATATATCGAATAAACTAGTAAAGTAAAGTTATCCTAAAGTAAGTGCATATTGAGGAGAGACATTTGCACAATTAGATCTGCACTTCCAAGAGCCCAAAGTTTCTTATTTTTCAAACTAAGATTAGCCGCTATTAAGTGATCTAAACAGAATAAAGATGTCATAAGATTACAAAGTACACTGACACAACTTCCATCTCTCCCAATCTTGAGATGAGCATGCATTACCGAAGCATTTCAGCATGCATTACGCACAGCCAAAACACAAGCATTTCAGGATGCGTCTATTGCCTCCACTAGACATCTTAAAAGTTCCTATATTAATTTGTTTATGAAAATTATGTACTTTTTTTTTCTTTCTGCTAAACGATGGTTAAATTTCATTAATAAGAATAGAAAGGTTTACAATATTTAAAACGTAGTAGTAACGGTTATCCAAGGGACCTTTGAAGAATTAAATAGGAAGTAAAGAAAATGATTATAGGGATTTAAGTAGTTAAGTAAAAATATGGGATAATAAAACCTAAATAAGTCATCTGAAATTCTATTTCTTTGAAAAACAGATTGTAACTAGCAGCATGGTGGATAAGGTGCTCAAACAAAGTTGGAAATGGCAGGGTCCGAAATGCTGAAACTATCGATATTTTGGTCCATGGTTTTGCCCTATTAAGCGCAATATTGCTTTTGTTTCCTTATTATACTTTGGGTGTTTTTTCTACGTTGTAGACGGATGAAAAGTTTTTTTAAAAAACCCCATATATTTTAGAGAGTACGTACAAAGTGAAATGTGCATTTTTTTCCTTCACACAAGAAGCAATTTCATCACATCCTCCATTTCATACAAATGGGATTTTCAGTAATGAATGAAAACAAAACACACTTATTTTGGCCACCAAAGTTGCAGTTTTAGCTGGAATTTTCAGTAATGAATCGTTTGAGAATTGGCATCAAGTCTTTTGCAGCTTGGGAATTAGGATGAATGGTGAAGAAACCATGCTGCTCCCCTTCAAATTCCACGTACTCAACCTTCTTTCCCCAATTCTTGAGCCTCTTTGCGTAATCTTCAGCTCGGTCTTTGAGTAGATCACTGCCACCCACAACCACTAGGATCGGATCAAGAGCCACCGGTTCAAGGCTCTGGCTAAATGGTCCAAATGGGTTCACAAGTGGGTGATCTGTGTTCTCTCCAATTGGTATCGATAGCCTCCAAAACCTGCCCAATTTTAAGCAATACACAATTTTTAGAAAAAAATTTATTCTTGTGAAATATTTTAGGAGTTCATCACTCGTGTATGCATAAATCTACGAGTGCTGCTATTTGTACCATATTTACCGTCAATTTGGGATAAACACAAAATTAGGGACGAGAGGAGATTAAACAGAATTAGGGGTAAACACAAAAAACAAAAGGTCGAAATTGCAAAAACCTGTCAATGAGCTCCCAATTGAGAAAGGCATCTTTGGGCCCCTCAGCCTCCGACTTACTCAAAACCGTTCCACCGAAAAATGGTGCCAAAAGGAGATACCCTCTAACCCGAACCGGCCCCAACTCTGCCGAACCGGGCCCAAGCTGAACCGCCAAGTTATGAGCAATGTTCCCGCCCGCCGAGTCACCCGAAACAAACACGTTTTCAAAATCAGCCACGTCAGTCAACCACGT